AAGTGTTCCAAAAACCAGAAAAATGCTGAGCGTGGGAGAAGTCTAATGGGTTGATTTGGCTTTGGTTGCATTTCAAGACAGCCCAAGGGGGGAGAGGAGCAAAGGAGTGCTGTCGTATGTGTTGTGAGTCTCTCTGTATTAGGAGAAAAAGGGTTGAATAACTAAGGAAAAAGGGAAATAGTAAAAGAAAAGACAGTCCCATTAAAAACAGAGATAGGAAATAAAATAATTTTGTTTGGAAACATGTTTTCTTTCATTAAGAATTTCCATGGTTTAGTTTGACTTATTCTATTATTGAGAAAAATATTTTGGGGTACTTAGAAGAGAAAGATTATGGAAAATCAACATGAAGAAAAAGACCCCAGGAGAAGGAAAGATGGAGGCACAAGACCAAGAGATGTTGAGGACAAGAGCTGTGACAGAAAACTTCTCTTTACTCAACCATAACTGTAATGAGATCCAATGGCTGGAACTGGAAGCAAGGCCAGCTTAACAAGTAAGACATAACACCAAGGCTAATAATGACAACCACCCTCCAAGGGAACTAGCAGAGACTCCACATCATAAGTATTTAAGCCAAGAATATTTTTCTAAGAGCTTTGCTTTCAGTTGTCCAAAGTGTGTGGGCTTTCTGCAGAGCAGAAGAAAGCTCTAAAGCCTGTGCCATACAGATGATCACAATAGTCTGTTCTGGCCTTATACCACAACCACAAGACTTTTAGCCCTGTTGCTGGGAATGTGGTCAGTCACACCTCCCAGACCCATTCACTAGCTGCTGAAAGCTCTTCTGAAGTATCTGAAATCCAACAGGTCTTTCAGGTGAGGCATCATCTGAGATGAGTACTTCATGGTGGTGCAGAGCTTCATGGTGGGTGCAGAGAACACAGAGGCAAGGGCTGAGAACTGACAGAGGGGACATTTAGATTAGATATTAGAAAAAAAAATTCTTCCCTATGAGGGAGGTGAGACACTGCCACAGGTTGCCCAGAGAAGCTGTGAATGCCCCATCCCTGGCAGCATTCAAGGCCAGGTTGGACAGAGCTTTGAGCAACCTGGTCTAGTGGGAGGTGTCCCTGCCCATGGCAGGGGATTGGAACTGTATGAGCTTTAAGGTCCAGCTCTAACCATTCTATGATTCTATGAATTCACAGCTCTTTGGTCACTGGCACAGCTTCCAGCTCCCTGCAGTGGCACCAGGACTCTGCCTATTGAAATAACTGCAATTTGAGCAATTATGACTGTCTTTCCAGAAAGTCATATGACTTCTCCAAAGAAAGCTCCTCTCCATTTCTCAAGCTGTAGGCAAGATTCTCTTCTTATTACTAAAGCTATTCAGCACAGCTCTGTAGAAACACATGGAGCAGCACCAGTGTAAGGCATGTGCAAGTGAGACACAAACCAGGCCTCTTACATTCAGCCTTTCCCATTCAGAAAACAGAACAGGAGCAGAGGCTCAGCATACAGATGTGGTGTGTGCAGTGGCTGTCCCAGGCCACAGAGTCTGGTTACAGATGCATACTTGAATGTAGAGCAAGCCACGGCTGAAGAATTTTTATTCTGGAAATGTGTTTCAACCTCATACCAAGAAAACAACCTTCTGTGAAACACAGATATAGATTTGACCTTTCTGTTCCTCCAGTGCATAGGTATGTTCAGCAAGCTCTGTATTTCATTTTGATACCATTTTCTAAAAAGGAGTATATGTTTATGTAAATGCCTTGGCTACTTAATCTGGTTCAACCTCAAGAAAGAGTTTTCCTTTTATTTGTTTTTTTTGTGTGAGATGATGTCTTCCCAAGCATACTCATATTCTTTAGACACAGTAGTTCTGTCCTTCCTTATCTGCCAGCAGACAAATTTAGCTCCCAAATTAGCAGCTGCAGCATTTGCTCTTACCTTGTGATAGCCTTTTTATCAACTTAGCTCAAAGCATGATATTCTCTTTGCATTTGTAATACTCTTCTGGCTGCTTAAACACCATGGCTGCCAGCAGAGCTACAACCCAGAGCTCTGGAGATACAGTTTCCTCATCAGTCAGGCTGGGAAATAAAGAGGGAAGGGATTGCATCCACATATGCTTCTCACGCATAACAGTGCTGTGGCAGAGATTTTTAGACCAGGAGGTTTCATAATGATCATCTTAGACTGCAGAATTTAAGCAATAATGTTGGTATTAAGGCCAGAGCTTCTGGATGAGTTAGATCAAATAATTTACAGTAATCCAGAGAGGCAATAAAGACCCCCTCAGCGCTCCCCTGAGAAGCTGTACCAACAGTTCATGCTCCTGCTTGTTAAAAACATGCATCTTATTTCAGACGAGATCTATCCAGGGAGCTTTGCAATGACTGGATTTTGTTATGCTTTTGTCTATGTAATTAAATGGTCCTCTCCAGCCATAATTATCCCCTGTCATGAAGGTGCTCTCAATTGTAATCAAATCACCACTTCACCTCCTGGGTTTTGCCATCCCAGATCACTGGCTGGCACCAGAACCTGAAACTGCAGGCATTGTACCTGCAACATCTTCTTCATGGGCTTTTCCCTGCTGCCAAACCTGCAGCTCTCTAGCAGCAGCAATAGACTGAACAGTGCCACGCTCCGGCCACCGACGTGGCTTAATGGGAAAAAGGCGCATGTGTGCCTGTGTGTGTGTGTCCATGGGATCTGCTGGTTAAATGTTTTCCTTTCCCAGGGGATATATTTGACATCCAGATAAAGGGGCAGCGTGGAAAACAAACTTACTTTCTCCCGCCCCCCCCACCTTGGAGTTTGGTATTGTAAAACAAGCCTCTCTAGCTGAGATTCTTTTTGAAAGCTCCTGGTTATCTTAGCAGCTGTAATATAAACCACAATCTCCTTAAAGTATCTCCCTGCTGCAGCTCCCTTCCTAATGGGGGATGGAGGGGCAACGCATACCATTGTATTCCCAGAGAATAACATATTTTCTGGAAAGTTTAGGTATTTTTTTAAGCTGGCTAATGCAAGACCGTATGTTTTCTGTTGGAGCTCTGCTAAACTCGCTAGTTACATATGCGCAAAATGCGATAGCGTCCATCTCTCTGCACCTCATTAACAGTATCTCCCTTGCCTTTTGTTTCAGTCATGACGATCTACAGTGGGAAGTAAAAGAGGTGATGGTTACGAAGTGTGCGGGTGAAGGGCATAATCAGAGTAGTTCTGCATGAGTGTTGCTTGTTTTGATGTTAAGGCTGTTTGAGATGCCTCATGCTGAACCATGTCCCATGCAAGCCAGCTCACGCCTGTGTGCTGCAGAGAAAACACTCCTGTAATTTTGACACCCTGCAAAGACAATGCCTGGAGTACAAGCACCTGTGTGCTAGGTAGTCACAAGACTTTCAGCTGGTACCTCTTGTGGTTGCTCAAGGGAGCCTTCGTCCTCTTGCAACCTCTGGCCTTTGAAGGCAAGATACGTGACCCCATGGGGAGGTTCAAAGAGGTGTTTGGGCTGTCTGGCAGGAAGTGACTGCCATACCCATGTTCCTTAACCCACTCGGATTTTTTCCGCCTTCTTGGTTTCCTCCTCTGTGGGTGTGAAAATGACTAGGGAAGAGGAAATTGGAGGTGCCAGGCTGGAGAAGGCATTGACTCCCCCTTCTGCAGCTGATTTGCCACTACAAGCAGTAGCCAAAACCTTCCCCCCTCCTCCAAAAGCCCTGAATCCCCTGCCAGGCTGGTCATGGTGTTCCCAGCCATGCAGCAGCAGAACCCTGTGCTGGGTCAAGCCGAAGGCACAGCACTAAAGAAGGAGCAGGTCATGGAAACCTGTTTCCATTATGGTGCTTGTAAATAGCCTTCCAGATTATCTTCTTGATTAGTGTACCCTACCTGTGCTGTTTCCATCTCTGAGGAGCTGAGTGCTTTTAAACCTTGCAGCAGCACTGCCATGGCAGAAAGAACCTGCAAAGGCAGAGGGCCAGCACCCAGCTCAAGGGTTTCAGTGTCTCTGGCAGAGGGTTTCTCCCCTTCTCAGGCAAGTGCATTCTTGACTTCCTAAGGGCACTAGATGAAGGAGGGGTTGCAGATCTGGAGACCACCCCCCAGTTAAGTGCATCAGTAATTACCCTTTTAAAAGCTGCATCTGTCCTATCGCATTTTACTCTACAACCTGTACTTCAAGCTGTATCCTACAATCAGAACTGGTTTTCTCTGGAAAACAAACTTGTCACACTTTAAACTCCTTCAAAGAAGGAAATAAGCAAGTAATGCTTTCAAAGCTACCCAAGTAACTCAGGAGCTTGTATCCCATTGTTTTCCATGCTAAGCAATTCCCTAAACAATTCTGATTTATTTTTTTTTGTTTGTTTGTTTAACTTGGCCCAAAGTCTGATTTCCAAAAATAATTAAGGCAGTTTGGAGCCACGAAGTCTACCTGTAAATTGAATTTGGTCTCGTAAGTCACTTGCATGGTTTGGAAATGCTAACCTTGATGTGGCAAACACAGTGTAACTGGAAGCACTCGTTACAGGTCATTGTTTTTTTTTTACCTAATTCAATGACACCACTAGAGAGATAAAACAACACTGGATTAAAGCACCCCAACTGAGCCAACTAGTTGGGTAGGTACACATGCTGTTACTCCATGGCCAGAATGAAGGGAGAAGTGCTTAACTTCTGCCACTTTCTTCTGAGGTTTAATGTAACTTGGTTTGCCTCACTTTTGCCACAGGCTAAGAGAATGCAAGCAGTCACCACCCAACAGCCATTAAATAATTCAGCAGCAGTAACTACCACGAATCTGTGCTCTTCCCTTCCAGTCTGGTCCTTAGGCTGGGTCCCTCCAGCCTTGCATGACCCACCTCCAACAATCTGCTGGGACAGCTGTTTCCAGGCTCAGCCAATCAGGACACATTAGCCTGGATGCATTTCAGTAATGAAAGATAAAAATACTTTTATTGGCTCCCTCAGGATTGTCCCAACAATCAGGGTGAATTTTTCCTTTACTATATAGTGATGGCTTATCTTTTCTCCTTTTCTTCCAGCACCAAGAGCCACTGTGGTAAATGGAGTTGTGCTGCATCAGTGACCCCACAGACCCAAGGGAAGAGGCAGTTCCTGCTGTGAAGAGTGGGCAGTGGGCACAGATGGGAGAGGTGAGAGTGTAGGAGATAGCACAGCCAAGAAAACAAAAAGTGTCAGCAAAAAGGCAACAAACCTTCTCAGCTTCTTCTTGGTGTTCATTTTCATCTTCCTCTGGTGCCACCGAGAAGATGTAAAGTCTTACCGAAAAAGAGGCCTGAAAAAGAGCCTAGCAAGGAACACTTCAAGAAGCGATCTTCCAGTGATGTTTCTTAAACCATAAGTAGTCACAGCCAAGACAATAATTTTGTCCAAGTCAGGGAAAAGGGCATCATGAAAAAGACAAAACCATGAAAAGTGAGAAAATGCACATTGCCTGATAGCACCAATTAGTGTGTAAGAGTAACAAGGGCGAAAGAAATAGATATGCTGTAGGGTAATCATCAAGGTGTTGGTCTTTATTACGGTGTAAGCCAGCAGAAATCTCTGCAAAATCGATGGAGACCTACTGGGACACTGTATTCATAAAACAAAGTCTGTGCTGTCAATTCCCAGATCTTGTTTTATTTACGTATTTTTAATTTAAATAAGAACAAAAAAGCTTTCAGGCCTCCAAAAAAAAAACTTGAGCTTTTATTTTTTGTTACTTATAGCAACAGAGATGATGTGTTATATTTCTGAATTTCTACATTAGTATGTTTCCATAATTCCTCTAGCTTCAGTCACTCCATGTGGTTTGCATGAAAAGGTGCTTCATAGAAGTGCTCTGACATTCCACATCAACACAACCCTATGAATTACAGTGAAATGTGAAGAGCCGTGGATGACTGCAGGGAGAAAAAAATCAAAGTAAGGAGCTTCTCAGCTGCTAAAACAAATTTCTTGCCTTGAGGTTAGTCCATTGTGCAGCGTCAGAACAAGATGTACTTGATGTTGATTTGTATTCGTGTCTCTGGTCTTGATGTCTCTGCGACTGCGGACAACTTTTTAGAATTCTTTCATCCTTGGTTAAAGTTTTAGAATAAAAAGTGAGAAAAATGGTAACACTTAAAAAAAAATCTTAAAGTCATAGTTTCCAATTGCCCAAACCCCCAAATTTGTATGGAAATGTAAAAGTTTTGACAAAACCTTGGGAATGGTTAACGATTTCTAGGTCCCAGATGGAGCAAGACAGACACAAGGGCAACAGGCGATAGAGCACTCTGGGAACTGCAAAATCCCACCATTCCCTAGCAAAGCCTCTCCCTCCTAAGCCACCCACTTCCTTCTCAGCTTCAGCTGAAGCACCTCCACAGGTATTTACAGGCTGAGGAAGCCAGGATACCTCTTGGCGCATGGTGGTTTTGAATTCCTTCCATCACTCCTAAACAAGAAAAAGAGCAGGATCAATTTTAGTTCAATGATTTGGTAGTTGCTTTTTTCCCACTCCAAAACAAAACACTTCAGCTTGCAGTGAATAAAGCACTTTAGACTTGAAGCAAGAGTTTTTTACTTTTTAGTTAAAACCAAACAGAACAAGGAAAACAGATAAATTGAACATTGAAAAACATTGGCTAGGAGAGGAAGTAGTTGTGCCCCCCATTTTCCAGTACTAAGTGGTGGGGTTGCTCAGGCAGGTTGCCTGAGGTTTAGAACCCTCCTATTGCCTTAGGAGACTCATATCTCAGGGCAGTGCCTTCACTGCCTCAGTGCTTTCACCAGGAGAGGAGTGAAAGCTACTCTCAATCCCTTGGCTGACCTGAGTCCTCTTTGCTTAAACAAACATGCAAGAGATCAGAGCCTGTGACTCAGATGCTCTCTCTCTTTGGTAAGTGTCCTAGGGACAGGCTAGCAATCACTTTTTCCCACCTCCAGCTCCCCCTCCCCATCCCTGTCCCCCAGCTTGGTAAATATTTAAGTATTCTGAGAGAGCAGGATGGCTCCAGTAGGAGCAATCATGAACATCACAAACCAAAACACCCCAAACATGAAATTATGAAGGAAAGCGATTTAGGATCACGTCACATCAGGAAAACAAGAGGCTTGAACTTGTCTCTCGCACATTCCTGATGCTGATAAAAAGGGGTGCATGTATTTTTCTTTTGGTTTTGTCAGTGTATCTTAACATACTTTTTTTTCTCTGAACAAATTTACAGCAAATACCATTCAAATTTATGAACAGCTTCTAGACAATAAAACTGGCATTTCTTCAGCAAAGTTTGCATTTGCCACTAAGAGGAAAGAAAAATCACCCAACTCTGCTCTACTACATGCATGTGACCTACAATTTCACATGGGCTCAAATCCTAGCATGATATTCACCCAGCGTTGGCCCAAAACAAGATGTAATTAACCAACAACACCAACTCTTGAAGGACCTCTGCACGATGGTCAGAAAGTTCTGACACACCAATCTCATTTAGAACATACTCTGCAATGAAGGGGAGGACCTGAAGCAGGGAGAGGGATGCAACCCTTCCCATCTTACTGGAGCAGTGAACAGCACCTCCCTTGCACACCCTCATGTATTATATTCTACTTCTCCTTGTCACGCTCCACCAAATGTTGTTTCTGTTCTGTGAAGGATGTCTGGCTCTCCCCTTGACTAATCACTGGGCATTAGAGGGTCCTCTCTGGAGCTTGAGAACTTGACCTCCGATAACACCCATTTGACAGGGATGCAGATACATGTGGCCCCCTCACTCACCCCAGGAGTACTCCTCACTCACCCTAGAAGTTCTCTGATGCCCTGTCATCACAGGCTTTCAGACAAGAGATACTGGTGAAATCAACAACAGCAAAAGGAATGTGGCCTTCTGGCCTAACACCCTTTGATTGATATTCTTTATTTCAACAAAACCTTAACTTGGTTAATAATACATCATACAACCTGTTTTGGCATTTCCAGGCAGGACATGTCTGCAGAACTAACAGGGTCATTGAGGCAATGTGTTTCAAAACAAATACTGGGTCTCACTTTCAAAATCACAAGGTCATTTTATCTGTACATATTTCTTCTGTAGTCTGCCAAGCTGCTGCTTTACAAAATGATCATGTCAATACTCTTATTTACTATCCACCTTACAATAATGCTCAGAGGTCCAGCAAATTAAGGGTTTCCTGGGCCCAGATGCATAAGGAGACACAGCCCCTGCCCTGCAGAACTTCCCATCCCACTAGGCTGTTTGCAGGCAGGGATTTGAAGCACAGAGCCAGGGGAAAGCTGAGACCACAGAAGCAGAAAGCTCAACACAGAGTTGAAGGCTGAAGCCTGCTTTGAAAGCCATAATGTGCACTTCATGCATCCCTCTCTGAAACAAGAGCCCTTTTTTTCCATAAGGTGACCCCCTTAAGGCCTTTCTACATGGAGTTTTCTGCATGTGCCCTCTGCTGTAGGAGCATCCTGCCCACTGTGCCTGGTTCCTCACACGTGCCCCAAAAGGGAGTAAGCAAAGCCAGCCCCCAAGCAGCTCTCGAGCAGCCATCATACCCTGCACATAACAACCCTTACGCATGGCAGACACATCCTTCACGCACGCTTCCTGCTCTCCACAGGAAATTTCATGGTCCCTTTCCCCACCCCCAGGAGAAATTGCAACTCTCTCACATGAAACTGGAAGCATTTAAAAGCTCAAGCTACAGCTGGCATCTACTCTAGGATGAATTTTGATCCCTTTAATGAAGGAGTGCCAGAATTTCTGTGAGAGATAGGGAGTCAGAAGAGATTCCATGTGCAGAAACCTCTGTCCTACAACAATATTTTACTGAAACGCTAACTATAATACCGAGGTATTTTACAGCTCCACCCTTTGGAAATGATTCTCTTAGAGAAGAGGAAGCATGTTTCATGCCCCTATTTTCTAACAGTCGTTTGGCCCCCATTTGCAAACAGAATTTCTCAAAATATTTGTCTTTCCTATCACACCCTCTCTCGTTTCTTTGGGTGTCAGCAACTTCTTCCTTCTGTTGTAGCGGCGCTGCCTTTCACCAGCATGCCTGGCTCCTGCTGCTCTCACATTAGGAAGGAATCGGTTATCATCCCTTGCAAAGCCTGCCAGGTACTCACTCATAACTAAAAGCCACAGCTACACCTTAGGCAGGGCAGCTTCCCCTGCTCCAGCACATTTGTAGTTGGTTAATGAATTGAGCAGAATCAAGATATCCCAATAGTTGAGAGAGACATTTCCAAAGAAAACAGGAAAGTGTAGGGAAATGCACTTGCAAACCAGGAAGGTGGAACAGGTTTCTTTTCAAATCTGTCTTTAGTTCATCCTAACAGAGAACCTTCCTGCAACCCACAAAAATAGGCTGCTGATGACCTCACATACTCAGAACTTTGGCTTTTATTTCTGCAGATGCTGATACCCTCATCACATGGCCTCTCAAGCTGCCGTGTTAGGCACTTAATGCCAGTGCCAATTGCATTTATCTTTGCAACTTGCATTCAAATGAATGCTTTGTATATGCAAAATATACCTCTCTAAAACAAAGAAGGTAGCAGTCCTCATTGAAGACTGGGAATACATGCAGAAGCATCAAAGTAAACGGTTCAGAATCTGGATTGTATCTGGAGACTTTTGCATAATGCATACAAAATTTTGGCTGCTATTTTCAAACTGGAACACCACTAAATATTGAAGTGATGAATTTAATCTCTCTTCATGTGATTGTGTCTGCTCAGCTGCCCAGAACGTGTTTTAGGGGTAAGGGTTTCAGCTGGCAGGAGTTTTTTGCCCACCACCAACCATAATCAAGTTGTATCTGAGCTTTCCTTAGAGTAACCCGGTCTTGGTCTCCTGAAATACAAACATTGCAACAGATACCAGGAATTGCACCACTCATTAAGACATATTAAATACAATGCTTGCACTGATAAGACTCCTATCTGAGACTCCGGAGAAGAGAACAAACTTTGCATAGAAAAATATATCAGAGGAGGCAAAAGCTGCAGTTCAGTAACAATAACCTGGAAGTGTCTGCAATTTAAGATAATGAAGGTGTGAGCAAGATCTTCAGGCAGTGCAAACTGATGTTGGTGGGGCTACATCAGTTTATATCATTTGAAAATTATCTGGCCTGAGGTAGATATCATCTTTTAGCAATTTTAACGAAAAAAAAACAAAACAACCAAACCAACAACAAAACAAAACCAAAACAAAAACAAACAAACAAAAAAAAAACACAAAAAAAATAACCAAACCAAACAAAACCAAAAAAAAAGACCTTATTAGTTACACTGTTCCTCAAACACATTACTGAAAAATAAAGCGTGTATTCACCTTGATCTGTAACAGCAATATCAAGGCGTAAAAATGGCCCTCTGGCCAACGTAGCCTCAGTCTATATAGCGTCATATCCTTCTACTCTTCCCAGAGAGGTAACTAATTGTTTGGTGAAACACACTGCCCTCCAACCCTACAACTGAGAAAGCAGAGCATAGGACCCCGTGATCATCATCCTGGGTCGCACATATTCAAAAATCAGTGCAGCCTCAACTTATTTTGTATGTATAATATCATGGCCTTTTAAAATAACAGCCACATTTCATATAAAAGGGCAACAAATAACACTACATTCCTCCTCTCAAGGTGCTTAAGAAGGGGTAAGATGTATTTATTCACACCTATTTGCCTACTCTGCCTTGGCTGTATTCAAAGGATAGTGCCTGTAGTCATGAACAGGACATATCTCACTAAAGGATCTTCTTTGTTATCAAGGCTACATATTGCCCAACACCGTTCTCCCTCCAGAGCTAAGCAGATGAGATATGACTGCTTCAAGCTCACAGACTTCCATTATTAGAATCCATCTCTGGTTGGATGGCATTTTGTAAGCTGTCTCTTTCTGTTTCCTGTGCTACACAAATATCATTGATTCCTTGAGGCTGTAGGAGATGTAGGATTGTCCACTCCATTCAACTGAAAGCCTCTGGACACAAAACAGCTGCATGGAGAACCATCACTTTTGCAGAGATAGGTGGTCAGAAGCTGCTGGAGGCTCAAGTCCAGAACCACTTTGTTACCAGTGATTTATGTGACATCCTTAATTTCTAAAAGCCAGCTGCTTCCAAAAACAGCTACAAAGAGGCCAGACTCTAATCTTGGTTATGTCAGTTTATCTCTGCAGTTACTCCCAATTTACACCAGGCAAGCAGAGATCAGAATCTAGCTCCGTCTCGCTTTGCATTGGCCGTAAATAAGCCCATTAGGGTTTGTCCCAATGATGTAATGCTTTAATGCAATACTCCACATCTATTTGTGTCAGTGGAGTTGTTGTGGGGGAAGAGAGATCAAGGATTAACTATTTCCCATGTTTCTCACACAGCACAAATTAAAGTTTTATTTCCAGCCACCCTTCTCCTGTTCTTAACTCTCTGCTCTAGGACAGCTGCTTGACTGTTCCAAATGTGGCATAAGGGGCAAACAACAGCTATACATCCTGTCCATTGAGTCTGGAAAATCCCAGAATGAGAAAGCATGGACAATGATCATGCTCTTTAGTTCGGTACGCTTTTAACTGTAAAGCCTTAGGATTACAGGGCAGGAGGAGTTTGTCACTCTTGGCTGGGCAGCTCTAGAGGGGTGGCTTTTCAAACAGGAACATCTTAAAGGCAGTTGCTAGAAATCTGGACTGTAACTAGCAACAGGAATGTGGCCTAATTAAGACCTCTGGATGATCAAAACTTTAAACAATCATGTAACCATCTGCAGCTAAAGATACAAATACCTAAACATATGGCAAAATACGCTGCAGTAGAAGGAATAAAACAGGTTGCAATAGAAGAAAATCTGGTGTTTTCTATTAGGATGTGCTGACTGCCTTCTGTGAAAATTCAGCTACCTTCACTTTCAGTCTATCTTTATGGGAGCAGAAAGGCATACCCACTGGGTAGCATCTACATCATATCTATATGTGGAGGTCTCCTTGATTTACATCCAGAATAAGAACCCAAGATATAGCTGCTTCCCATCAGATGCTTTTAAGTCATATAATAGTGTTTACTGAATATTCATCTTGAGCTCTTGAGGTGCTGTAAACCCATGTGGATTTCAGGTCTCACATTAAAATACAGCAGTATTCTGCTGTATATATTGCAGAAAAATGCTTGAAAGCATATACTAAATGAAGACTACAAAGGGTAAAAAAAAAGAAATAACCCAGAATTAGAGCAAAGTAGGGTTTGGACAGGCCCTCAGAAACTGAAAGCAGTGCCCATGCAAATTCTGTCAAGCTCCCACATGCACCCAGACTGCTGCTAGTACAACCCACGCGACCAGTAGACACTGACGTGTGTTGTGGCGCAGTAGTCCTTTGTCACCCCATGCTAATTTGGATCGATATCTGAAATTCATGTGCAAGCACCAAGAGATTCAGAAGCATATTACAGGCTGCAGCCTTCACTGGGTTTGCGTCAACATGTACAGTTTTCAATGAAACCACAAAGAGTGAATTTGCTGGAGAAGCCAGAACAAAATATTGCAAATGTCCTGGGCAGAGCTTCTATGGTGGTTACAGGGAAAAGAACAAAACAACCCTTCCTAGCTGGGCCCCTGTGTGCAGACCATACAAGAGCAATAAAATGGACATCCTATCGGGATGCTTCTATCGCAGTGTCTTGCCTGCAGGCCAAGGCCCTGTGTTCTTCTGCTACATTGGCTGGTACCCTGCCAGCTGCAGTGAAGTCCTGTTTCCTTTTCAGGGTCTTCCACTCCCACTTCTCCAGCTCACTGTTCTCCAGCCTTACCACACAGCCAGCTCCCAAGCTGCTGCCTCTGCACCACTGCTCCTGCTTTCCTGCAGTTCCCCATTGACTGGGGGCCCTTCTGTCTGGCTGAAGTTGGGAATCAGTCAGTAGGAGCAGCCACCTTATCCAAATGAAACATCTCCAAGGAAGTGCATCTGAGTCAAGAAAGTCTGACCGTAGAAATTGCGTGAGTGTCCTATGCCATGTGCTAGCAAATTTCTTTCTTGTTTTCTGCCCCAACAGATATTCAGTTACTCACATGGAGAAGCAGAGCAATTTGGAATAGGAAGAATATGGGAGAGATTTAGCTCTGGGCTGCAGGAATATTCCCACACTGCATGGGAGAAGCAGGTTCACGGTTTTTGCTATGAATCTGACCAAATAGCAACTCAAACCCAATCCCCCCAGCCCAAATTAGGCATTTTCACTACCTTCACATTCAATGGCAGGTCTCTGATTTTCCACTCATCATCACCTCTTTTCTTTACAGGTTGGACCTGCTGCATAGATACCGTATGAATCCTGGTGACTTTTGCAGACCACCAGACTCTTCCCTTGTACTCATCCTTTATTACAGAAATAAATGCACCTTAAAAAGCGTAAAGGCTTCAATCAATTATAAAACATACCGCAAATAAATAAGAATCCAGTACCTCTAAATACTTTTCAAAAGAGAAAGGAATGTATATCTGACTTCATGAGAGACAAAACACATGGCTCATTCTGTGTACTTTCCATCAATATATACCAACACAGCAGGTATGTTCCCTGTGCCTTGAAAGAGGCACCGCATAAGATTAGGTGGTCATTTTTGTAGCATGCCTTGTATTTCCTGCTCACAAGGGAGGGTGTGACTGTCCAGCTTTATGAATGAATAATGTCAGTGTTTGATTGATTCATGGGCAGCCTGCTGAAGCTGATGTCATTCAATAAATGCGAAAATAGATGCCAAAATTAAATACCAGTACTTTCTTGTCATCTTCCAGCAATTAGAGCTAGCCTTCATATGAACATCAGCTGGTTTGTAACACCACAGAAGTGGAATGTTAAGGATGTAACATTTTCAGTTACTCAAGCACTTGGGTGAAACTCATAACTATTTCTTGGGCATGCAGTGTTATTTAGAAGTACACATTCCTTGCAGTAGGAAGAGTGTATCAGAAAGAATACCATCATAATTCTACAACATTGATTTCAGCAATCAAAAAGAGGTCACTCACACAATTCTACAAAAGAGCTTTACACGCTGCATAATTCAGTAGGCTTGTAAATCCATAAAGGATGAAAATTTATGGCACTGATGAATCAATATGGGAGCTTTGGCGCTAGCAGGATACTTTCAACATGAGCTCAAGAGCAGAACCAGATCCTTCAGGTGACATTAGAATTGGCATGTTAAATTCAGAAATCTGAGTGTTAAGAAAAGAGTTTGAAAAACTGTTGTTCTATCATGTTACAGATATTTGCAATACAGAGCTCAATTTTCTTTCTACTTTTCACTATTATAAGAGTAACTCTAATTCCAAGGTCCATGCTCCTTTGAAAATTTAAAGATTTGCAATGTAAAGGCAAACTGGTTACATCCATCAGTCACTACTTCGAGGTTTTTTGTCAAATCCATCAACAAAATCTAATCCTGACAAGTGCGCATTTATGACCCTGCAGTGATTGCCTCTCAGATTTCTCCTCCTCTCTCTACTCAGATGTGCAGTTCTGAACTCATCCTCAGTGAAAGACAGCTCTGAGGTCTGAAAGAGGAGTGCAGGACTGTGAAAACAAGAACAGCGAAGGGAAATCATTACAAGTCTGAGTTGTAGGATGGTGTCATAGGGAAAATGAGTTTGGGAAGGGACCTCATAAGGTCAACTAGAGATTTGAGCAAGAGATTGGAGCCTGTTGTTCAGGGCTTGATCTGAAAACCTCCACAGACGGAAATTGCACAATTTTGTCTGGGCAACGTGTTACAAGTCATGAATGACCTCATGATTGAAAAGCTTTTCCCTATGTCTAATCAGAAACTCCCTTCTGTCAATTTATGTTCTTCGTCTCTTATTCTCCTGATATGCACCACTGTGAAGAGCCTTCTCTTCCCAAAGCTGAACAAGCCCTATTCGCTCTGCACCTCTGCATGGAGTACACACTCCAGCCTTCCCTTGGGGTTCCTCTGCTGAGCTCTGTCCACTTTGTCAATGTCTTACTTCTTCTGGGGGGCCAAAGTACTGAATGCTGTATGTTTGTTATTCTCTAAAAAGTGCTGAGTAGAAGGAGATAATCATCACTTCCCTCAACGTGCTGGTTATTATTCTGCTAATACTGCCCAGATACTGTCAGTGTATTTTCTTTCCAGGGCACGCTGCTGGCTCATGTTCAGCTTGATGTCTACCAAGCAGGTCACTTTCAACAGGTCTGCTCTCCAGCTAGCCAGTTCCCAGCCTGTACCATTACCGGAAGTTATTCTTTCCAAAATTTGGCATTTGACCTTGTTGAATTTTCTTAGGTTCCTGTTGTCCCATTCCTCCATCCTGTCTAGGTGACTCTTAATGGCACCCTGCCTACAACATATTTAGAATCATAGAATAGTTATGGTTAGAAAGGACCTTAAGATCATCTAGTTCCAAACCCCCTGCCATGGGCAGGGACACCTCACACTAAACCATCTCACCCAAGGCTCTGTCCAACCTGGCCTTGAACACTGCCAGGGATGGAGCAATCACAACTTCCATGGGCAACCCATTCCAGTGCTTCACCACCCTTACAGTAAAGAACTTCTTCCTTATATCTAATCTAAACTTCCCCTGTTTAAGTTTTAACCCATTACCCCTTGTCCTATCACTACAGTCCCTAATGAAGAGTCCCTCCCCAGCATCCCTATAGGCCCCCCTTCAGATACTGGAAGGCTGCTATGAGGTCTCCACGCAGCCTTCTCTTCTCCAGGCTGAACAGCCCCAACTTTCTCAGCCTGTCTTCATACAGGAGGTGCTCCAGTCCCCTGATCATCCTCATAGCCCTCGTCTGGACTTGTTCCAACAGTTCCATCTCCTTTTTATGTTGAGGACATCAGAACTGCACACAATACTCCAAGTGAGGTCTCACAAGAGCCGAGTAGAGGGGCAGGATCACCTCCTTCGACCTGCTGGTCACGCTCCTCTTGATGCAGCCCAGGATACAGTTGGCTTTCTGGGCTGCAAGTGCACACTGAAGCCGGCTCATGTTCATTTTCTCATCAACCAACACCCCCAAGTCTTTCTCCACAGGGCTGCTCTGAATCTCTTCTCTGCCCAGCCTGTAGCTGTGCCTGGGATTGCTCCAACCCAGGTACAGGACCTTGCACTTGGCATGGTTAAACTTCATAAGGTTGGCATCAGCCCACCTCACAAGTGTGTCAAGGTCCCTCTGGATGGCATTCCTTCCCTCCAGTGTATCAACCGAACCACACAGCTTGGTGTCATCGGCAAACTTGCTGAGGGTGCACTCAATCCCACTACAGTCAGCGACAAAGATGCTGAACAAGACCGGTCCCAACACCGATCCCTGAGGGACACCACTCGTTACTGGTCTCCAGCTGGACATTGAGCCATTGACCACAACTCTTTGCATGCAGCCATCCAGCCAGTTCTTTATTCACTGAGTGCTCCACCTATGCCTCTCCAATTTAGAGACAAGGATGTTGTGTGGGACAGTGTCGAACGCTTTACACAAGTCCACGTAGATGACATCAACTGCTCTACCCCTGTCCATCAGTTCTGTAGCCCCATCATAGAAGGCCACCAAATTGGTCAGGCAGGATTTCCCCTTAGTGAAGCCATGCTGGCTGTCACCAAGCACCTTGTTGATTTTCATGTGCCTTAGCATGCCTTCCAGGAGAATCTTCTCCAAGATTTTGCCAGGCACAGAGGTGACACTGACTGGTCTGTAATTCCCCGGGTCATCCATTTTCCCCTTCTTGAAAATGGGGGTTATATTTCCCTTTTTCCAGTCGTCGGGAACTTCACCCGACTGCCATGATTTTTCAAATATGATGGCCAGTGGCCTAGCAACTTCATTCACCAGCTCCTTCAGGACCCGCAGATGGATCTCATCAGGACCCATGGACTTGTGCACGTTCAGGTTCTTAAGATAGTCTCAAACCAGATCCTCTCCTACTGTGACCCTAGAATCTTCATTCTCACAGTCCCTGCATCTGCCTTCCAAGACTTGGGTGGTTTGGTCAGAGCCTTTGCCAGTGAAGACTGAGGCAAAGAAGTCATTAAGAACTTCAGCCTTCTCCAAATCCAGGGTAGCCAGTTCTCCTGATAGCTTCTGGAGGGGGCCCACATTGTCCCTAGTCTGTCTTTTATTTGCAGTGTAATTATAGAATCCCTTCCTGTTTTCTTTCTCATCCCTAGCCAAGTGTAATTCTAACTGGGCCTTAGCTTTCCTAACCTGATCCCTAGCTTCATGGACAACATCTGTGCATTCTTCCCAGGCCGCCTGTCCTTGCTTCCACCTTTTATAAGCCTCTTTTTTCCCTCAAAGTTTCCTGTGCAGCTCCTTATTGATCCAAGGAGGTCTCCTGGCCCTTCTGCTGCACTTCTTTCTAGTTGCGACGCAACATTCCTGAGCTTGTAAAAATTTATTGTTGCCTGCAATTTGATGACATCCGCAAACTTAAGTACTCTATCACCACTCCATGCCACTGATAAAGATGTTCAACGGGACCTATTAGAGACACCTGCAGAGTCTGTTCTATGCCTCGAGGTAGGTTAACACCCATTAGCCCCTGCCCTTTGAGCTGTATCATCCAAGCAGCTTTTTACCCATGCAGATCATAACATCCTAACTTGAATACAAGAATACTGTAGGAAACACTGTCAAAAGCCTTGCCAAAGTGGAGGTAGATGACATATACCACTTTTCTTTCACCCACAAATGAGCTAATATAGAGATTTTATAATAGAAGGAGGCAATTTGGTTGAGCTCAATTCACCTTCAGTAAATCATGTTGCAGAAACCAAATTAATGACCTATGCACATTTCCAGACACATTACCTTGTCCCACCAGTCTATGCACTGGGCACTGAGCCCCATTAGAGGCCTTTAAAGCCCTGCCTAACACTGTCCCTACTGTCATCTCCTTCCTGAAGGCCACAATCTCCCATGATTTCATGCAGACTCATGAACTATGCCAAAACTTCCATAATAAATAAGCCTGCCGTACGCAGATCTAAATGTGTACATAATCTATATGTGCAGTTGGTGTCTCACTGGTGACCCTTTTGCTTCTGCTCCTGCATTACCTCGTAAACTGGAGAGCAAAGAGGTCAGCTAGCAAATACAGCTGAATTTTACTTAACTGACTGTGGATGACCTGTATATGAAAAATACATCCAAAATTATATGCTAGGGAAGGGAAAAAGTGTTTGAAAAGAGTTTTGAATGAATCCATATGTTTTGTTAAACTGTATTTTTAGGGATAAATCCATTTTATTCACAGCTTGACAAGCAGCATTCAATTATTTATGCTCATGACAGAACAAAACCGGATTAGTTTTCTGACAAGACACTGAAAAAAAATCAGATTTATTTTGAAATCAGCCAAAATGTTTATTTGTGTCATTTTGTAATTTTTCTCAGTATTGCTACTTGGTAATCAGCTGACCAAGTTTTCAACAGAAGAAGGCGTTCATTAATCCTTGAGTTCAAAGGGAGTCCCCACCTGCCTCATCCCACTTTTGATTCTCCACCTCATGCCATTGCCCTCCAAACCAGCACTTCAAAGTTGAATGGTTCTCTTGGCAGATTGCTGGAAGCCTTCTCTTCTTCGGATCTCTAAGTGTGCAGCAGCCAACTGGCCTGCAAGTAGAAGCAGAAAGTAGTGAAGTTAAAGAAAGAGTGAAAAAGTTTGGATGCCTATCTGAATGCTAGCTGCTTCCATTAGTAATAATCCATTGTTCAGTGAGAGAGCTAGTGTTAATGACCCCTGTTCAGGAAAGCATTTAAACAGAGGCTTAACTCCGTCCCTATTCAGGCTGGCACTTATGTCTCAGTTTAAGTGCTATCCTGAATAGACTTTTTTTTCCTGAATCTGGGCCAATTTCAGTTCATCATCCCTGAGGAACAGATGCATTCTTCCCCCCCTTCCTAACAAGTGTAGAAAAACATGAATCTAATATGTAGCATGGAAGCGGGAACAGGATAAAAAGAGGAACCTCCTGTCTTCCTATCAGCACAGACCTACCAGCATGTACTCCCCCAGCACCCAGTAGTACTCAAGGCTTCTCATAGATGGCTGGTGGAGGTCACTGCAACCCTGCACCATATGAAGCAAGAAGATGTGTCACATCAGGTTGGGTTGATGGAAAGTACCTCATTTTATATCCATCTTTGCATTCCTGGGAAGGAGCAAGGGTTTTTTTTTTGCAAAATGCTGTAAGATTCAAGGACAAAGCTGCAAACTGCACAACATTATTACTCATTATTCAATGAGTCATCACTGATTACCCAACATCAACAGCAGTAAGAACATGTCTCATCTCCTAAGGCTCACCTATGGCCTTATGAGTAGGGGAGATGGGAAGGGATGTAGCAACTGCCCTATGTTTGGGGGGGAAGTTTATGACTACACATTGAGAAAGAAGTATATCAAAGGATACCCTAAAAGATGTAAAGAGCTGATAAGCACCAAGTTCCTACAACCGTCTTCCACAGGCCCCGTTTAAAAATTCCAGGAATGATTTTTTTTTTCAGCAGCATGTTTGCAGGCAGTCAAAATTACCCCAACCACTACCTTTCTCTGCTAAGTTACGCACAGAGCTCTCATCCCATGAGACTCTTCTTCCCACAAATCCAGAGAAGCAGGGCTACCTGACCCCTTGGCGGGACTGTCCAAGGCACAAAAGCATTGAGCACAAGAATGGGCATATTTTTGTATGAGTTCAACCCAAGAAAAGTGACGTTGAGACTTTTGACTTTGCAGAGAAACTAGTGATGCTGGCTCAACATATACTGTAACTCGCAGAGTTAACGGCACTGGCAAATCAAATGTTGTTTATGTTCAGCACAGGCAGGGGAGGAAGGAAACAGGAAGATTAATTAAAAATTTTCTAGGTGGTAAATGTGATGAATAGAATCCATGGAGCAAGGCTCAGTCCCACTGGAAAAATGGTATCCTGATGTCTTTCTTTAGCCCCAGTACGAATCAAAACTATTCCTGTCACTAAGATGCTAAAAGGAAGTTAAAAGGAAGGTAGACACTTTCATTTCATTGAGCTCATTATTAACATGGGAAGGAAAAAGCAGCAGAATATGAGGAAGGTGCCTCTAAGGTCACTGGTAGTGATGGGCTAGAAGAGTTTTGAAATCTGTTTCAAGGAGCTTGGAAAAGTGAAACCCACATTGAATGCCATCATTGGACTATGACAATGTTTTCATTGCATTCAACGTATTTCACAAGGTTCAGCTATGTAAATATATGGGCTGCCTTTCCCTCAATAAAGGGTGCAGCTTGCAAAGCCTAAGGAATTTTTGGTTGTGTTTTTTCATATATGATCTAGTAGCCTTCCTTTCTCTTTCATATTATAAACATATTATTACAAATAGTCAGTGAATAGACTTTTCTTCTTTTTCCTTGCATTGCTTAAAAAAAAATGAATTGTTATAAGATTTAATGATATGATAAGCTTTAAAGTTCCCCTGGGAAGCTACCACAGCCTTACTGATTTACATAAGCATTTTCCTACACATAATACAGCATGCAAGCTCTCTGATCTCATTATTCATTAGAAAATTAATGATATCTCTCAAACGTGAAAGCAGACCAGTTCTGCAGAGAGTGCTGGAAATTGGCTAGTTCTCGACGCGGTAGTCATTTTCAATTTACTGGCTTGAAAAAAAGATGCTTTTAAGCAAATAAAAGGGTGCTGACATCAAACAGATACTTGTCTTGCTGCCAGGGAACGAGATGCCTTTTAAGGCAGGAAGGTGGGACTTGAGTGATGTGAATAGGAAGAAAAGAAAACAAGCCAGTCAGAGTTAAGCAGCTCTGCCCCATTCATGAAAAATGTCTAGGCTCATTTCCTCATTGCCAGAGGTCTTTTTTGCTTAGATTCTAAAGCCTGTGCTCTGTTCTTGCCAATAATAAATAGCAGCCTGTTGTTAGAAAAAGTGCGAATTATGGAGGTTTTTTAAGTGCTTTTCCCCAAGCTGCACAACTTGTGGCATCCCATAGATCAAGAGACAATGTTACTAAACCCCTCAAAATTTGCTGATAACTATATCCCAAAATTGAGACTGTCTGTGATTGTTACAGAATGAGCTATGGCATATTCACTCACAAGGAGCAAATGTTGATCATCAGGGATGGCATGAATTGCCATATGACTGACCAGATTAAGATCTGATTTTTATCCTGTTTCTATTTAGATTATAGGAGCAGCAATTAGCAAAGGCTAACTCCACTGTGCAAGTCTGCTAGTTTGGGATATGACTAACAAACAGGATGGTTGTTTCTGTCGCTGTAGTAACACAACTGTCAGGGCATTAGGAGGGGAGTCTCTAGATGCACAGTGTCTCAAAGCGGAACACCTTTGTGTCCATCTCTTGTAGTAAAATGGATGAAACCTGTGCCTGCTGCTTGTTGAAGTAGATATAATCTTTCCTTGTGAGATTTGATTGCTGCTTTTTAATGCAATTCATAGCTCAGATAGCAACAGAAATTGTTCTGGGGTGTGGTAGAAAAGGGATATTAGACATGCACTGCAACATCCTGTTTTGGAACTAGTTTGATATGAGGCTCAGCATTACAAAATTCTGCACTCAAGCTGTTACTTGCCAAATCTTTTGCACATTTGTTTTTTCTTTCCTGTGATCGGTAGCAACATAAAAGGAAACATCTGGCTTTGCACTGTCCAGATTAGGGGATGCCATAGGAAAAACACACCATTTGAAATAAGGTAGTATGAGAATCTGTGCAATTTTCACACTCTTCCAGTAGGGAACCAAATATGTGCTACCACAGTGAGAATTCTACCACACTTCCACCAGGGAAGGCAAAGTGCTGCTTTGGTGTTGTGATGTTTTGACCATGTCTTCAACCATTATGATATCTAATGAAAAAAAAAAAAACAACTAAAAATTGTCCAGTTATAGCTGTCACCTGAGTGTCAACTGTGCTTTGGAGGATGAGATTTGCACACCTTTTCTGAGTTGAGATCAGTGCCCTGCGAGGGAAGCAATGGTTCTGTCAGAGAACTCCTATGGATGTGTATGAGTATATATGTTTGGGGGTTAGATTAAAATCTCTGGTGAGTCTTTACTAATGGCAGGAGTTATTAGGTTAAAATATCAAGACATGTTTGGAAAGAAAGAGGTTTCCTCTCTGGAAGAAAGGAAAATCTTACTTGCTCTTGCATTATTCATCAGCTGCAAGACTCCTATGTAGAACCCCTCAAATCTATACTAAAAACTATGATCTTAAGGTCCTTTCCAACCCTAACTATTCTATGATTCTATGATACCTGAAATAAAATTCTCTTGCAGACCCAAACCTTGCAGCCAAGGACAATGTGGTCTTTCTGCAAAAAGCTGAAAAAGCTGTTACTTCATGGGTTGTTTTGAAGTAAGATTTTCTCCCTAGTAAGATTCAAGGCCATAGAAAAAGGTAGCCAGCAGACACAGAATAAGAGTGGGACTGTTGAACCAAACATTGCCCAGGCAACTATTGATCCTGTAGTGAAACGAGGGACTGTAGTGGTAGGACAAGGGGTAATGGGTTCAAACTTAAACAGGGGAAGTTCAGGTTAGATATAAGGAAGAAGTATTTACTGTGAGGGTGATGAGGCACTGGAATGTGTTACCCAAAGAAGTTGTGAAAGCTCCATTCCTGGAGGTGCTCAAGGCTGGACTGGACAGAGCCTTGGGTGACACGGTTTAGTGTGAGGTGTCCCTGCCTATAGCAGGGGGGTTGGAATTTGATGATCTTAAGGTCCTTTCCAACCCTAACTGTTCAGCGATATGAGGATGCTCTCAGGACTAATGAAATTAAGGGCTTCCTCTAGAAATCACATTAAATGCATCTGAAAGAAGCATGCATTATCTTGCCTTTTAGTGATTAGTTGTGCTTCCCATGGTGGCAGGAGCCACGCATAATGATACCCCCAAGGGGACAGAAGACTAAGGAGTAGAATTCCCTTTAAGAAAAATGCCAGCCAAGATGACACTTACAAAATCAATAGGACATGCTTTCTGTTACTGGAAAGATGAGAGTCATGAATTTTAAAAACTGTTATGCATATTGAACACAACTCACCATAGAAGAACTATGAAGTATTATAATAGTCTTGAAATGTGAACAGCACGTAAACTATGCAGTCTCCAAAGAATTCACAGAGAAAGGCATGCAAAAATGACCAAAGGTTGATTGAGGGCCATGAAGGGGGCAGGTGGAGGATCCATTCTGCTTTGGAATGAGTGACCACAAGACTTGGAAGCGGTAGTCTTAGGTGAACAGATGAAGGCGAGAAAAAAATGCACAGGTGAAGTAAGTAGGATACAGAAAGGGTGTAGCTAGCTTGGAAAAGATTCGCTTGTGTCGAGCAGACCTAAATCTTAACTGTGAAAGATAACCCCTAAAATACAAGATTACTCTAGATTGATGATCTGTAGATTTCTACAGCTGAGGAAATCAACAAGAACTCATTTTGAAAATATTGCCCAATAAAATGGGTCACTCCAGTCTGGTGAAAATCCTAGAGGACAGTCAAGGCTATGATGAACTGAGGCCAGCGATGCTCTGAAATTGGCATCATGTTTTCTTCTAGCAGTTACAAAATGCTCCAAAGCTCTAATCAAATCCC